GGGGCGGGGGCGCCTCAATCAGGGCAGACTCCTGCGTCGAGGTGAGCAGGTACGCCCGCTGGCGCCGTGAGAGTGGGCAACCCATCCAGCCCCGTGGCACGCACCGCTGCGCAACGCCGCGCTGCGCCGCGCCTTTAGCCGCGATGGACCTTTCGGGGCGGGAGCCTTCGCCTCGCTTCCCACGGGAGGCTGGACCTGCTGCTGCTGGACCTGCTGCTGGACCTCCGGGACGCTGCGGTGGCGTGCCTTTTGCCTGTAGCGGGCGAGAAGGCGGTAAAGGGCAGTCGCAGCCCCGAGCATTAGCCCCCTCTCCCCCCTCCCTCATCCGAGCTAAGCCCCTGCCGTCCTGAGGGCAGGCCACCCGCTCAGCTCGGATGTATTCAGCGCCGAGACTTTGCCTAACTGCCAGGCGCTAGCGTCTCTTTCGAAGCCCACGCCATCTTACCCTTTTTCTTTATCCTCTCAATTTCTATCCGTTCTTAAGGTGCACACAAACAGAAACTCTGCACGAGCAATATCGACGAAACATCTAAAACTCGTCTCGTTCGATCCTCCCGTAATGCAAAATTCCCCCATAAATATTGCCTTAAAACTTAAAATGCCAACTCGCTACTCTCTTCCTCTCTCGCACACACACTATCTCGCTCTCTCTCCCTCGCTCTCTCACGCCGCTCCCACTCCTGCGGTGAGGCCGGAGGGTGGAGGGTGCTGCGGCCGGCGGTCAGCGAGGCGACTGCGCCGCGGGTCGAGTCGCTAATGACTTTGGGAATGGCGAGAGAGCGACTATGGGACCAATGGACCAGCCTGAACCAGCCAATGGCGGCCAGTGACACGTACGAGTGTGCCAGCTGCCGGCCTCTAGTGGCTGCCGGTGGCGGCTTTGGAGGTTCCTGTAACACGTTTGCCAGCCTCTGTCGGCTCGCGCTGGCCGCTTGGAGGCTCCAGTGACACTTCTCGTGCTAGCCTCTGCCGGTTCTCGCCTGGAGGCTCCAGCGGCGGCGTTGAGGCAGTGGCTGTCGCGCTTTGCGCCCTATATGCTGCTGTGCCGTACTCACCAAACTCGAGGGCCGGCTTGGTGAGCGGGTTGGAACCCGGCGGCAGCGCCCACAAGTCCGGGTTGAAGGGGACTTCCTCGCCGTGGCCCTGCGTGCCGTCGAGGTATGGCCCGTCCGAGTGGTGTCCTTGCATAGGCCCTTGGTGGACAGGGCCCGGGTCCTGCTGCGGCGGTGGCCGCGGAGGCTCGGCGGTGTCGTGCTGCGGCCGCTGCGGGGGTCTCTGCTGCTGGTGCTGGGCCGCGGCCGGCGGCAGCGGCTCCTCCAGGTTGTCGAAGGGCGCGTGGCCGGCGTGCTGCGGGAAGGCCATATCGTGAGCAGGGTGAGCAGCAACCGTGGGTATGCGGTGTCAACCCTCTCTTTTGACTAGAGCTTTTTTACTGTTCTCTCGGAAATATGAGAAAAGGGGGAAGAAAAATGTAAACTGATACTCCAGAGAACACCTCGGACGACGCCAGGACCAGGAAGCGAAAAGGATAAGGTTAAGGGTGACTCCGGAAGGTAAGGGACCTTTGCGGGGTGGCTAAGGCCAGTGGTAGGCCCGAGCAAAGGGGCTTAGCGGCGGGGGTGGAGGGGGATGAAGGGGTAGGGGTGGTTCCGGTGGGGGCCGGGAGGGGGAGGTAGAGAAGGCCGCTCTGAGCCCACTTCATCTCAAGCCCGGCCTGTGTGCCTGCCACTGCGCTCCACCCACCTCAGCCCGCAGGTCGCCCCAGGGCGGCGACGACGCCAGGGGCGGGCGCAGGTGGTGGGGCCGCTGCAGCGAGGGGGCCTCGGGGGGCTCGCCGTCGCACTCGGGCCGGCGCACGTACAGGTCGAAGTCCGGGTGCTGGTTGATGCGCGCCGACGAGGTCCGGCCCAGCTCGCAGGTCGTGTTGCCGCCGCTGTGCACCCTGCTCAGAAGAGAAAAAAATCGGTGATAAACAGGAAAATTCGGGGGGAAAAATCAAATAAGAAATTCAAGAAAAATCAGAAGAATCAAAACTTTTCAAAACATAAAATACACTGAGAAGTTGTGTCTTCTTGCATTTATGGTTGGGGAACCCTCGGAGTGCAACCGCTCCGCATGTTTACATTCGCACACCATATCACCGTTACCCCACCGTTCCATGCCGATGGTCGCCCCGGCGGAAACTACACAGCCGTGCCCACTCGAGCAGCTCTGCTGCTTGCTTGGCTTGCTTGGCTTGCTCGCAGCCGGGCGCACAGGCGGACTCACCCAAAGCTGAAGGCGCCGCACGGCGGACGCGAACTGCTGCAGCGGAGCTCGCACTGCTTGAGGGTCATCCCGGACACCACGTCCACGATGTCGCCCGTCGGCAGGCGCTCCGCCACCGCGGCTCGCTCGAAGCAACCTGGAGAATCAGAAGGCATACATTTGAGTCCATGACGACAGACAGACAGACAGACAGACAGACAGACAGACAGACAGACAGACAGACAGACAGACGGCTAACAGTCATTTTCACACCTTCACGTGACTGCCAAGTTCAGCCTCTGCAATCTCTCACAAGGCGCCTGTTAGGTAGGCACCGTCTTTCACTGCAGTGCTTGCGGGCACTGCGGGGTGGCCTACCACGAGTCTCACAGGCGCTCAGCTCTCGTAATTTGCTGAGGTATAAAATAACCCGGACGTGCTTTCTGGACGATCCCTTACAGGACACGGTGGTGCGTTCTGATGCGCGGTGTACGTGGTTTCAAAGGAAGTATATCATTTGCGCGAGCGGCGTGGCGCGGCGCGGAAGGCAGGAGTATGATAAATTTCTGATTGCGTATCTCCGCTCCCGCCGCGGCCAATTTCGCATTTTCATTCTCGGTGCGCTATCGCGGCTATCGCGGAATCAGAGAGGCGCCTCCCCCCTTCCCCCTCTGCCGACCACCCCCACCCCCACCTGCCAGGCTACCCGGCCCTGCCCTTGTCTGTCGGGAGCTCTCCGCCCCGCAGCCCGGGCCTCGATCGGTCGGCTCGGATTGAAATAGAAAAAGGCGGGTGGGAAGCCCCGTTCCCGCGCCTTACACTTTTCTGGCTTTGGCATTCACGAGTAAATGAAGAGAAATGACAAGACACGAAAAATCTGAACTTACGCGCTGCACGCACAGCCGGCAAGCCGGCACCGCCCGCCTGCCTGACGCCTGACGACGCCAGGATAGGCCACCGGCTCAAACAGTGTGCTTGTTTATGGCCTACCAGTCAGGCGCTCCAAGTGGTCCTCGTCAGATCACCCACTTTCCTATTCAATCTGACGAAAAAAAAAACTCACTTCTCACATGTGATCATAAAGACACTCACATTTTACTATTAAACCTTTTTTTTTTTACTTTTTTACTATTTTTTTACTGCAAATAAAAAGGAAAGGAAACGCTATTAGATACTTGAGAAAACTTAAAACATTCTTTCTGGAGATTTGAAGGCCGGGTAAAAACGGGAAAAAACAAAGGATGCAGAAAAATGAATTTTCAAATTTTCACGGAAAATTTTCCGAAACAAGCGGTTTTTTCCGGTGGAAAACTTTAACTTTTTCCGGAAAATTAAAATCTCTAATTCTTTCTCTACGTCCTTTCGTCATTCTCGGTCATTCCAGTCGTCAACAAGAGTCGGTGGCGCTACTCCACGTCCAAGAGGTTACGGTTCAGAGCACGCGCTCGAGGCGCGGGGTATGGCCGCGAGGTCAATTGTTTCGAGCAGGCCAGGCCAGGCACCTCGGGCTTGCGACATGCGGATGACATCAGGGTGACATCAGGGTGACATCACTGGCAGGCCGGGAGGCAGACACGCCAGCTCCGTGACAAGGTAAGTGCGAGCGGCGGCGACGCGCGGCTCCCGTGATCCCCATGGCACCGTGAAGGCTGCCTCGCGGCGGGACGAGGCGTCGCTGTTTGGTAGCATCCCCCCCCCCCCCCCCAAACTGACAAGGTGGGTATCGGTTTGTCGGCAGCGGGGCGGATGTAGTGGAAAGGGGGATGAAAAAAGGCAGCGCAGGGGCGTCGACCCGAGTT